TGAGGTAAGAAAATTGATTAATGCAACTAGTTACACACATGAGTTCGCACTAAATACAAAAGGCAGTGTATAAAGCAACAACCGAGAAATTGAAGGATGAAAAATTGGAATACTGTGGGTTTTTTAGTTCAGCTCCAGCTCACCACGATAATTACCAGCAGGAACCTTTGATGTATCCACCTGGAAGAGAAAGATTTTACATGAAACTCAAGTTTGCAAAAAAAAATTCGGATTGTTTGAATCTAGCATTACCAGTGAGGTAAAACAGTAACTCACATCATCAAAGTATCGATGATGTAGTGCTCTTTTTGAAGAAATTCTCTTGGACGGGTCGTAAATAAGCATAGCCTAGAATGTAAACAAACTTCAGAAATTATACGTGATCAAATGTACTTTTGAGGTGCGGTAAGGAAATTTTTCTAAAATTGCGACATATTGTTCAGGACAGAATTTACTAGAGAAAGCCGAAACCATTAATCTGGTACCTGAAGTAGATCGATCGCATCGGGATCCATAAAGTTGGCCACTTTTTCAGTCAACGAATTACCTCTCCATTTAGGGAAAGTTGGTTTATAATCAGGCAGTTGACTAACTCCCGGCCATTCTGCTTCAGTTGGTGTTCCCAAAATCCTAAATAATAACTTTACAACATTCTAATCATGAGATCAGACAGCGCTAGAACCTGAAAAGGCGGAACAGTTCGTCGATTTCTGAGTCACCCTGGAACAGCGGCTTCTTGGTAGCCATCTCCGCAAAGATGCAGCCGATCGACCACATATCTACACCCATGGAGTAGCGTTGCGTTCCAAGCAGGATCTCTGGGGCACGATACCAGAGGGTCACGACCTTGTAAGGAAGAAATGTAAGGCAAGATCCTCAGCGTTTCTGATAATTGGTGTTAACGCGAGAATTCCTCAAAAAAATGATGAAATAATAATCCACGGTGTGTTTGATGACCTGTCTGGTGATAGAAAAAATTTTTTGCAAATGATAAATATAAAATCCCCAATTCCCATTTATCCCCAATGTGCTTAGTCGGTCTAATATCATAAAATTGTTCGAAAATCAGGCGTATAAACGGCAGTGTTCTCGCTATCACAATAATATAGATTCACCTCATGTGTGTATACCCTGACTGGAATTCCTATCGCCCTTGCCAGTCCAAAATCAGCCAGCTTTATTGCTCCTTTTCCATCTACCAAAAGATTCTGCGGTTTTAAATCACGATGGATTACACGACGCTGGTGAGCGAAGCAAATAGCTTGACAGATCTAAAAGATTTCAAAAACTTGAAAATGAGCGACAGAGGAAGGAAAGCGTAATTTATGAGGAACCTGGAACATGTAACTTTTACATTCAGCAGGCGGTAGACGTTTATCAGTGGGAAGCTGATCCAAATATCTTTTGAGATCCATAGACAGAAACTCAAATATGAGATAGAGTCGATTTTCCTGAAAGTTCATTCGGACTTGTGATCAGATTTTACGTCTCGATCCCGAAGATGGTATAATTTGCTATGTTTTGCTTCCGCTGTGGCGCTGTAAACATTTCCTATGCTGTAATAGAAACATTCACGCTTAAACAAATCGCAACTTTCGACTTTTTTGAGAAATTTCCTCTATCCTAGCTTATTAGAAAATGTAGATCAGACCACTTATTTGAGTATAAACATACCTGCATAATAACATCTTCTAGTCCCACAACATTCGGATGTTTGAGCTCTCTCAAAAGAGATATCTCTCTGATGGCGGTTGATGGGACTCCCTAGATATATATTTTGTCTTACTTTCAAACGAATAATATAAAAGAGATAAGGTATACCTCATCCTCGCCTTCCAGACGTATCTTCTTCATGGCCACAAGTTTGTTGGTTTTCTTATGTTTGCCTTTGTAGACAACTCCATAGGTGCCTAAAATGCAAATTTAGCAAAACTTTGTGAAGGGAGACGTCAAACTATTTACCTTCGCCGATTTTGTCTAGCTTCACAAATTCATCTAAAGAATAGTGTTCACCAGGTGGAGGAGGCATACTGAACCTGAAGGTT